ACTCATTTCTGTTGGACATGATATAACAAGATAGAGAACCGTCATCACTCTCAGAAGAAAAGGTGCAAACTACCCTGATACAAAACGCTGCTCCGTTCCTTAAGCTGAAAGTGCAGCTGCTCCGTTCAAAGGTGCCCATGGACGTTTCCATTTGCGAGGGCGCCTGCTCTTCGCACGAGATGCCTCGGTTTGGCGGAAGGCCTCCCACCTTATCGGTTTGGAGTCATTCAAACGTCAAGGCCACCTCAAGTGCATTAGGAGTTCTTGCAAGAAATCTTACGTAGATTTATATACAGTAAATGAACCTGAGGTAGCACAAAAACACACAAAAACATGCGTGAAAGCCAGGGTGGAAAAGTCAATACATGTCAATACTGCAATGAATGAACAAGCACCGGCTCTGCACGCGTCTGGATAAACAGGTTGGCTAAAATCATTGGAGTGGAACGTTTGCACATGTGCTGAAATGTTACAAGTACTGATCCATTGTCAGCTCGCTGGTTGTAGTTCCTGTTCTTCTTCGTGTTGTATTGTTGTGTGATTTGTATGCAGTTGCTCCGACTTTGGAGTTTGAGTCGGGGGCTCGCCTCCTGACAGCTTCGCTCACGATACATTTGGCTGACGACTGTATGACTCTATAAGGCCAGTGCTGAGCAAGCCCACCACTGAGCTCATCTCGCTTTTGGCAAGCCGTTAAATGTTCATTCAGGTCTCAATTGTTGGATAAAGGCAGCGGGGGCAGCTTCCTTGAAGAAGCGTGAGCATGCGCGAACTATCCTGCGTCCAGTTCCTAGTAGCTTAAGTAACCTATAGCTACTAGCGGCCTACCCCTCCGGGCAAAAAAAACAAACAAGAATGAGGCGTTGGATCTATCCTGGGCATGAGGCGTTGGGATCGGCTGCTGCTGCACCGACGATCGCTCAACGACTCTGTGCCGCGGCCTGGGGAGTTCGGCAGCATCTTGACACCTTCAAAGGAAGCTACTAGTAGCAAGGTGCATCGCTACTAGAAACAAGAAGCTACTAGGGGCTCCTGGCCTTACTACTAGTAACAAGAAGCTACTAGTAGCAAGGTGCATCGCTACTAGGAACAAGAAGCTACCAGGGGCTCCTGGCCTTACTACTAGTAACAAGAAGCTACTAGTAGCAAGGTGCATCGCTACTAGGAACAAGAAGCTACTAGGGGCTCCTGGCCTTACTACTAGTAACAAGAAGCTA